TAGAGTGCAAAAAAAACTCTAGGCAGGGCTCCGGCAGGAGCCGGCCTGGCGCCCGCCAGGGCTAGGGGGGGGTTAGGGGGTCTCCCCCTTCAGAAACTTGCCCCGCAGGGCCGCCGGAGGCCTACGGGGGGTCTGGGGGTCCTCCCCCAGCGAAATTTGAGGTTTTTTGATGCTCTTAAATGAATTCTAGCTTATTCTTTGAGCTTACATGTGTTGTATATATTTCAGCTTTGGGGAGTTCACATAGAGTGACTGGGGTTCACAAAGCACTTCTATATTACGAAAGTTGAATCTTGCTTGTATCCTAGTGTGGTTTTAGATGGAATTGATGGAGGATTGAAGCTACATCTTTAAAGTTCAACTTGTCAAGTAATGAATTATGTTATGTTTTTATGATATTTGGTTGTGAAGTTAACACTTTAAGCTGGTTAATGTTTAACATATGGTATCAGGTCTATTCTAGGGTCAATTGTGAGTACTTAGAGAAATTATATGCTTGGTTCTTACTGTTTTAATGCAAGATATGTTTGGTCATATTGGAACTTTTACCATTTTGTCAAAAATTAAGTATTTGAATATCATCAATTTCTTCAAGAATTTAAATTTTCTACTTTAAATGTCTGGTATATAGCTCAGTCAATTCTGATTATATTCGTCTATTTCAGGCACGTTTTGGACATATTTAAGGTGTTGTAATGGATGTTTTAAATTTGATCAATTTTTCAAAAAAAACCAAAGGGGTTAGCCTTTGATTTTAACCAATTTTTGCAAAAATAACACTTTTTTTATTAATTTATCCATTAGATAGAGTGATCAATTCTGATCATTTTTAACTATTTCAAAGCCTTTCTACTTGACTCTAATGTGTTATAATTGTTATTTAAAAATTCTATAATTTTACCCAGAAAATTAAAGGTGTTGGTTTTTGAAAAATACTAATATCTGTAAAAACACAAAACGTTAGTTTTAAGTCCCTGATAGATAGTGCTATCAATTCTGATTATAATCATATATTTTACTGTGAGTTTACTATACACTAATGCTGTTTAATTTGATTTTGAAAATTTGTCAATTTTCCTTGAAAATCCAAAGGGGTTAGTCTTTGAAATTGACCAAAATCTTCAAAAATTTAAAAACTTCATTTAAAACGTATTTTATATACTACAATCAATTCTTATGATATTCATCTATTTTTGAGCTAATTTGGAGTCCATTTAAGTGTTAAAATTGAAATTTTAAATTTTGGTGATTTTTCCCAAAAAACCAAAGGGGTTAGCCTTTGATTTTGATCAATTTTTGCAAAAAAATCAACTTTTCATTTAATGACATAGGTGTATAATTTGAACAATTCTGAGCAGATATATATATTTATGAGTCAGTTTAGCCATCTTTAAGGTGCTGTAATTGTTGTTTTAAATTTTGCTTAATTTCATGATACCGAAAAAATCAAAGGTGTTAGTGTTTGGACATCATGGATTTCTTCAAAGCCCCTAAACTCTTTTTTTAAACATCTAATGTATACTCCAGCTTATGCTTATTATACTCATCTCTTTTTTACCAGTTTAACTGGACTATAAGGTGTTGTAATCGTTGCTTTAGATGTTGGTATCACTTTGGTAAACCGCGAAGCAGTGGTATCATGAACTATTTCATTTAAACAATTAAACTGTATTTGATTTATTTATAAGTATACACTTCAAAGAATTGATATATATGTCGATTTATTATCCATTCTGTTGACCTTCAAAGTGATATAATCTGTGTTTATATGATCTTATAAAATAAAGGTTCCCTAATTAATGTTAAAAATGAAAACATTTTCAATCATATTGACGAGAAGATCTTGCGTCTTCTTAGCGTTGATAGTAAGATAATGGAAGTCCATTATGCAATACATACTTCCATTTATCAACCCCCTAAGTCCCTGGATAACTATGGATATGATCAAACTTCAAATTTGTTCAAAAGAAGGGATACCAATAAGATTGCAAAGCGATTCATAACAGTCAATACAACCAATGATTTGTGATTAGGTAGGTTCAAAAATATTTAGATTACCTAGTGGTGAAATATAATGTGCTTTAAGATTCACAATCCACAGTTAAATCGGCACATAGCATAATCACAATATTTTTAAACCTTGAATATTTACCTAAATTTCAACTTTAATACTTTGGCAAAACTTAAAAAGCACCAGCTATTAAGTTGTACACCTAACAACTCCCTGATAAACACCTGAACAATAACATTTCTGGAATAACAGAAACCATGCTTGAGATCAAACAAATCCCTACCCACCAACCAATGTGAAGAGCATTATATACCACCACAAGAGATCAACAAGAAACAGGAGAAGCTTCATTTACATGAGAAAAAAGCATTGGTCCAATTCGCAAAATTCGATAACCTGCAATTGTTATAACTCCCACCCCATAATTTGGTGAAGTACCTTGTTCACATAATTCAGCAACACTTGAGCTAAAGGAGCATGTAAAGCCTTAAGATAGCAGAGAGTATGACCTCTTTAGTGAGCATAATAACCTTATCAGAAAAGGAACGATAGAGCACAACCAATATTGTTTGAATGAACACTGAACTTGATTTTGTTGTTCCTCCTTTTCAAGCACAACGCATAATCACTATCTTTTAGGGCTCAAAGAATATAAGAGATTTAGCAGCAGTAACAGATCATGTTGTCCACCATTAAATTTTGTCATATAAATGAGGTACCGAATGTGTTATAACATGTATGAGATGTTGAACTAATAAACAAGCAATATTTTGATGAAACGAGAACTAAAGTTTCTGGACCATAAAGAGTAAAACTTTTTGTGCATTACACATTCAACAGCCGAGTTTATATTGATGAAATGAGCCTTGAGTATAAATGATGGTTGTTATTCATAGTTTGGGGTTGTTGTTCGTTGATTGTTGTTGTTGTTTGATTGTTTGTTGTTTTTTTTCATCAATTTATTTTTCCCGAAAATTAAATTTGATTTTCAGAGTTATATAAGCAATGGCACAATGATTACATAACAGTACTATACCCAAATTCAAATATCCTATTTTTATATGGAAATACTACATAATATAGTTGAAAAAGCTAGCCTTCCTGTTTGTTTTTTTTTCTAAATTTGACAGTTAGGATATCAAACTCCCAAGCTGCTTTTGAAATCATCGATTTTTGGAAATTTTCATTATTGGCAAGTTAATAAATCTTAATTTTGTTTTCTAAATTGATATAAACTAAATATTCCAAAAAATAAAATTAATATATGTATAGTATTAATATAAAATTAGTATTTATACGTCGTCTAGTAATATATATTCTATATAAATTATTGAAAAATATTATTTATAAAAGCTTTAAATTAATATATATAAATATTTCGATCCGGGGTTATACATTAGATAATAAATTAATAATCAAGTGAAATTAACTCCGATTAATTAAAAAAAATTGACTCGTTCAAAAAGAAAAACAAACAAGAGATCCCGAATTTTTAAAAAGTAAACAACGTATATATCTTTCATGAAGAACTTGGTATCAATAATTATCGTTATTTACATCACATATCAATAATTAAAAATTCACATCAATTTACATATTATACACATTTATACCATCAATGATAAGTCTCTAGGTTATCCTGCTTTGTTATCCGTCAACTCAAATTTTTATTTACTTCAAATCAATTATTGTTTTGATCATCACCATTTTCCATGTCATTATCAACAAAATGGAGTCTAGTTAATCTGTTATTAGCACGCTTGGATTGTCTGGTACCCCTTTCTTTACCTGAGAGATGTCTGGCTTCAGAATCAACAACATCAATTTTGTGTGTTAAAGAATCCAAAATTCTGTGTGAAAAAGCTTTGAATTCGTTGGGATTCAAAAAAGGGACAAATTCAACAGGTGGACCATAAAAACATAATTCAGAAACTCCAAATAATTTTCTAATGTTTCTTTCTTCATCAAAAATCAAACTTTTGAAATTATTAATTTGATATAAAGAATCAAAAGGTAATTCAATGTTGAACAAATAAGTTATGACACTAAATAAATGACAGCAACCAAAAAGTTGTTCACCAACACAAACATCACAACACATAGTTTCATTTTCTTGGTCATATGTCACTGTTGGTTTTAAATCAATATAAGATTGGAAAAGTGGCCTTCTAAAACAACTATATGATGATTTCCTTTTCAATAGCTTGTTATATATTTTCGACAATCTTACCAGCTGATCAGAATGTTTTATTTTCCCGTTGGATTTCACAATGAAGATTTTCTTATTATTTTGATCTGGTTGCTGCTTTACATCAAACATTGTGGATATTGCAATTTCTAATGAAATCATAACTTCAGGGTTCTTTCGAAGTTGATTTTGTAAAGCTTTTGACTTGATTTGTTCATTAAATAAAGAAAAATGCATCTGAGATAAAGTTGCAGAGATCAATGATGGTAAATTTTTACGTCTATCAATCTTTATTTTGTTGTTGAAGATTTCCACCATGTTACTGGTGAAAATTTCAAAATTTTGATGACGATTAATTCTGCAAAATGTATCATTTTGATTTTTTATTAAATCAAAAGTCCCAGAAATTCTTTTCGAGCTGCTAGCAAAGATGGTAACTAATTTATCATAATTCAGTTTAAAAGTGTTACTATCCAAGGTTTGAACAATTCTATTGAAATATGTTCTAATTTTAGGTGAACTTTTAGCACCAGCTGTTTTGAGCAAATTTCTAGTGATGTGTGATACACATTGAAAATGCACCTTTGCATCACCGTTTCCACCATCATTGAAAATCCAACTTATTGATTTCTTTATAGAATTGTGATTGTCAGTTATAAAACTGATTGTTTTGAGATTCAACAAATCACGATTAAGAATAACAAATGATTTTAGAAACCTACACCAGTTAATGATGGATTCACCATCTTTCACAATCATATAACCAACTGGAATTGTATTATAATTTGATGTCACACCCACGATTATAAAAATGTTCTCAAATTTAGCACCTTTTTTGATAAAGGTGCTGTCAATTGAAAATACTGGTAATAAAGTTTTATATATATCAGGGGGAATTGGTAAGCTATAATACATGGAGTCAATAGATTCTTCAGGATTCTGCTCTTTAAACTGTATAATTTCATTGTATTTTTCTTCATTTGATGCTATTAATTTTTTTAAATCTTTATTAAAGTACCTTAGATCTTGGACAATTTCTGGACCATTTGCGATGAAATGTTCTACAAATTGTGATTGTGAGTTTTGATCAGAAGAAGTTGGATTTGAACTTTCATCAGTATATTCTTCATCATAATATTCATCATCCGAATCATCATAATTAATTTTCGATGGATCAATTCTTATATCTCCATCATCTCCATCATCATCAGAATCAGAATCGTGTATAGGATCAACTTCACCATTCATATCACCATTTCCATTTAAATTAACCTTCTTTCCATAAAAAATCCCTTTAAGTTCTTCTATTTGTGACTGAGATATGTTTTTAGTAACAATAATCTTTTCTTTTGCAAATGCAATAGCATTAGCATTCTGGTAACTGTCTAACAGCATCAGTATAGCCAAAACAGTATTATCGGTAGTGGTGTTGTAATTCTCCCAGTACGATCCTCGTCTTATCGTTAATCTAACTTGTTGATGATACAAATTAACCAACGCTTTTGGATCAACATTGATTAAGTTATTGGAATTAACATCAGATGGCACAACCTTGTGGACATCTAATGTTAACAACAATAATTTGGTTGCATTGTCCACAACATGGTTAGCCTTCTGATGTATAGACAGGTTCTTTATGCCTTCTATTTGTTTAGCAATAAATGGTAATGATATCTTTAATATATGATTAATAATGGTTTTATTGTAAAGATTTTTATTACCACTAATGATTAACATTGCTTTCAAAACATCAATATTATCCTTATAAGACTCATAGACTGTATGTAAAGTGTTGTTCATAAAAAGATCATCTGAAATTTCCTGGTCTTGATGTTCTTTTCTAAATTTATTATCTCTATTTTTAATCAAATAGTCCATTCTGGATTTTATATCTGAAAGATGACATTTATGATCTTTGGCACCATCAGCAAGATGTAATATGGTTTCTCCTGTTTCACATAATTCAACACTTTTAAATAAAAAGTGGTTGCAGTACCAACATTTAAATCTTCTTGTAATATTTGTGGCATCTTTCAACTTCAACACATGCTCTTTTCTGGAATCACAAGTGTAAATTATCTTTTTTGTAAACATAAAGAATAAAAAACAACGTTCGGATAACGCTTCTTGATCAGTGAAAATCTGACGATCATAAATGAAGTTAATAGCTTCTGTTTCTGGGAAACTTTTTGCAATCGAATCTAGTAACTCTTGTCCTGGTAGAGCCTGTTTAGATTTTTCCAAAATTTCATTATGAGTGTATGCACTGGTAGGGCCTGTATAAGCACCACTTTCTTCAGGATGATCCCTCTCATGATCAATATCAGCTATAGAGAATTTAGCAATCCTTGGTCTAAAAGGTTTTGGTTTTGGAATTGCTTCTGATTCTGATTCTGATTCTGATTCTGATTCTGATTCTGATTCTGATTCTGATTCTGACTGTTCTCTATTTGGTGACATGGGTCCAAAATCAATATCATCATTCTTATAATAATCATCTTCATCTTCATCTTCATCTGAGGGAAAGGTTTCGTAATTTTCTGGTAAATCAATATGGCCTATATCTCTCAAAAAATCAATAATGTATTCCCTATAATCTTTATCCTTAATCCTTCTTTTGAGGGATTGAAAAAATATGGAATTTCTCTCAGCACGAGAATTATCTTCTTCCATGGTTTCAACAATTATAGTATATGATTGAAAAGACGGTTTGCAGTCCTGTTTATGAAGCTTTGGTATCTAGTTTTCATACTATTTCGACGATTTCTTTTCAAAAATTATATTTCAAATCTACAAAACTAATTCGCGCCCATACTTAAATTTTTTTTGCACTCTACTTATTTTGACC